GACATTATGGACAGTTCCACAGAGGCTCCTCCCATCTCGATCAAGTCCCGCACCCACTCTGTGTCTGCTGGTGAGTATGTTGGGGGTCATGCAGGGACAGGCTGGAGGGGATCTCAAACCATTCGTCAGGTTCACTTCCGACGCCTGGCCCGGGTCTTGGCTGACACCATTCTCCCTGCAGACCCTTCATGCAGACCTGGTCCAGGGAGCCAGGGGCCCGAGTGTGCCACCTGGAAGACACTAGGGCAGCAGCTGAATGCAGAGCTCAGGGGCCGTGGCTGGGGTCAACAGGATGGTCCGGGCCCCCCCTCCCCTTGTCCCAGCCCAAGCCCCCGAAGAGCCAGCCCCTCCCCAGACAGCCTGGGCCTCCCAGAGGATTCTTGCTTAGGCTCCAGGAATGAAGGTAAGCAGGTACCCTAGACCCCACCCAATACTGGGCCAGGGCCTGGAGGAGTCCCTGCTGGGAACTCAGCTCCTCTGGGGACCCTGAAGGTGGGAGGCAAGGGCTGGAGCGGGGGCAGCTGTTGGGACCATACCCTGATACCCTGGCCTCCCCCAGATGGCCAGCTGAGGCCGAGGCCTCTCTTGGCGGGTCGACGAGCAGTGTCTGTGCATGAGGACCAGCTCCAGGCCCCTGTTGGTGAGGGGAGACACCTCCATGTGTGCTTGAGTGCAGGAGGAGATGGGGGAGGGGGGGCTCCCTTCGAGGCTCGGAGGGGGCCACCAGTGGCGTGAGGGGTTGAGAAATCAGGGAGCCAGAGGCCAGGAGCAAGGGTCTGAGAAGCCCTTCCTGCTAGCCCTGGATCTACCTCCACAAAAGCAACCTCTGCCAGGGGTGGGAGGATGCTGGGGAAGGGGGAGGTTCTGAAAGCAAGTGTGCGTGGGGGTCGAGGACAGGCAGCAAGCCCTTAGCAACCCTCCCCAAGTCTCTCTGTATCCCTCAGAACGGCCCCGGAGGCTGCAGCGCTCCCCTGTCCTCAAGCGCAGGCCAAAGCTTGAGGCACCTCCATCTCCAAGCATAGGTAAAGGGGGCTGGATGGAGCCAGCTGGGTGGACGGCAGGACTGCTCAGTCCAGTCCTAACCCTTCCTCTCTCCCTGTGCAGGATCTGGCCTTGGAGCCGAGCCTCTACCCCCACAGTCTACAGAGCCCTCAGGCCCTGAGCGGAGCCCACCATCCCCAGCCACAGACCAAAGAGGCGGCGGCCCCAACCCCTGACCTTCTCCTTTCCTGCCGCATGAGATTATTTTATTAAAAAACTTAAAGGAAGCTAGTGTGAAGCCCTGTTTATCCACCCCCAGGCACGGACCTGTGCTCGTATCCTCCCACGTGCTCACATGACCCCTCACACCTGGGTTAGTTCAGCCTCTGGCTGTGGCTCCATCAGAAAGTGCAAGGCCCAGGCCACAAGCTGGGGAGGGAGCCTGGGAAGAGAACCATGGTTGTAGGCCAATGGAGACTGGGACGGGTAACCAAGAGAGTGGGGGCACCCCCAGGCACTCACCTGACAGCTTGGATCTGGGCACACAGGGAGGGGCAGGGTGGCTCGTACTCATATTGGAAGGCAGAACCGTCACGATGCCTCTTTGTGGGGTCCTGACGGGGGGGGGGTATTGTGTCTGGAGAGGGGCCAAAACGGCCCCTAACCTCATCCAAGGCTACCCCCAGCCCAGCCCCATTCTACCCTCCAGTTGTAAGGGGTGCTATGCTCACCCAGACAGAGCTGGACTCCAGGGCTTCCTTGGTGGTTCTTGTCCTTGGAGAGTGCTGCCAAGTCTTAGGGGGTAACCCTAGCTCCTTGAACTCCAGACTAGGTCTCTGGGCCATGGTTACAGGGGCTTGGTGTAGACTGGGGACATGGCCAAGGGGTGACAGACTTGGGGTGCAGCTCAGGGGTGGGGAGTTGGGTACATGGCTGGGGTGTGGGGAACTGGGGGGCAGGGGGCCATGGGCTGAGCAGATGGCTGACAGGGGCTGGGAGCTGCCCTTCTGCGCTGGGTCTGGAGCAGCCAAGGGCAAGGCAGGCAGAAGGCTGATACTGGCACCACTTTCCTCTGACAGCATGTGGCTGGGTAGGGCAGGGGTTCCTGAGGAGAAAGGGGACTCACCATGGGCACAGATCTCTCAGCTCAGACTAGCTGAATGACCTGTGAACATAGGCCTGCAGGAACTGTGTTCACCCCCCCACCCAGCTGTGCACCCTTTCACAGCATCCTGTGTAGCCCAAGCATCTAACTGATAGCACCAAGAACATGGGGCCTGAGCACCAGCTTACCTGAGGAACTGGGTGAGGAAGGAGGAGAGGAGATGAGAGTCAGCGATAGGTCCTGTAGAGCCGGGTGTGGTGGGGGTAGCTCAGGGCCTGGCGGTCAGGGGAGGCTTATCAGCACGGAGGGCACTGGGCATGCAGGCACTCCCCTCTTGACCTCTCCAGTCCTCCTTACCCTGTGCCCTCTGACCTGGGCCCAGAGAGCTCAGGATTTGCTGGTCATTCTCAGAAATGCGCAGCCATAGGCTGGGGACAGAGTACACAGCTTCTCCCTGTAGGACGAGAACATTCAGTTTGGCCCTTGCCCAACTCCCCACTCCGACATTTCCCAAGAGAAGCCCCAGACTGACCGTGGCTCTGCAGCGTGAGGCCGCCCAGCGGGTAAGGGGGGTTGCTGTGCAAGGGCCTGCCAGCATCAGACAGCTCTCAGCCAGGCTCACTAGCGCCCCCCGATGCTCCTGGTCCTCCTCTACCTCATCCAGTAGTTGGGACAGTGAAAGGCCTAGGGACGGAGGACCGGGGGACGGGCTGAAGCTCAAAGAAGAGGAACGGGGGTGGGGAGAAGAGCTTATTAAGGAAGCAGGGGGGTGATGGCTGGAGAGATCACTCTACAGGAAGTATGGGCAACTGGCCAACCCCTATAAGTACCTGCACTGGGGGAGGTGGACTCTGAAAGGTGCTCCCTAGAGAAACAGAGGGAACAAGCCTGAGAAAAAATCCTGAAGCCTATCTGATAACACAGATTTTCTATTCCCTGACCGAAACACACCTGACCCAAGAGCCCAACCCCAAACTCACTCCAAGCAGTCATAGAGCTTTTTCCGCACATCCGGGTCCTGGTTGCTGGGAAGGAGAAGTAGTAGGCAGTCAGTATAACTAGGAACGCAAGGCCTATGCCAACGCCAGCCAGGCCTGGGTGGGGAGTACAGCTGGAGGATGGAGGCATCACTTACCAACCAGTCACCCGTTCCCGGGGTTGCTCCGTGGGCAGCAGGCTGAAGCGGTCCACCTGGAGGTAGAACTCCGCGGGCTGGAGGGATGAGTTCAGGGACCGGGTTTCAGGAGTTGTCAGGAAGTCGGGCCCAGTAACCCACCGAAGCCAGCCTCACACTCACCGCGCCTCCCTCGGCGACTTGGACGCGGACCCCGCAGTTTTGCAGTAGCAGCAGCCGGCCTTCTGCCCCTCGAAAGCCGAACTCCTTCTCCTCCCTGCAGCGAGCGCGATCCTCACTAACGCGCTTGCCTGAACACTGCCCCGCCCGCCTGGGGCCCGCCCGCCTGAGGCCCGCCTGCCTGGGACCCGCCCGCCTGAAACCCGCCCACTTCGGGCTCAAGGCTCGTGCTCTCCCACCGGATTCCAATCTTCCCCGGCTCCGCGGAGCCTCTCTCACCAGTCCGAGGCGTTCAGAGCCTCCCGCGTCACCAAGCATCGAATACTGTGGGTCCCGTCGGACACAAGTAGCGTGGCCCCTTCAAACGTGTCGGGAGCGCGGGACGGGCCCGGGGCCTCGGCCTCCTGCAGTACCTGACGGCGACGACCTGCGTCAAACCCACCGCAAGGGGCCCAGCACTGGTCTCCGGGCCCTGAGAAGGGGGTGGGGACTCACCTTGAGCAGCTGCCCCGCCCGCGGGCTTGAGAGTGCCTCTGACCCTAGAACCAGCTCTCGTATCCAAGGCCGCAGGACCAGACTCCCCAAGCCTGCCATTCCCGCCGCCGTTACCAGCCGAGCAACCCTGGACCGCGTTTCCCGCGGGCGCTGCGGCCCCGCCTCTCCTCGGAAGAGGAAACGTACGGCGGCTGGGCGGGACCTGAGGTCGAGGTCCCGCCCATGAGCGTGGCGCGCGTGCGCACGAGCGCGTCCTATTCGGGAACTTGTCGGCAGACCCGTGTTGGTTCAACTGTATGCTGTCCTGCTTACTCTTACCCGAGCATCTCTCCAAGCAGCGGCCGGGCGTTTGCGCCGTTCTTCAAGACTCCTGTGGCACTGGGCAGGAAGGGGCCAAGGGCTGGCTCCGATGGAGTGGGAGGGATCTGGGGCCTGAGGCTGCAGCCAAGGGTGGTCCGAGTGGGTGGCTCAAAGCCACTTCAACGCCTGTGACCCCAAGGGGTTCAGCAATTATTTGTTGCGACTCAGTTTCCTCATCTACAAAATGTGCGGTATTGTTAGGCCAGTGGAAATAAAACCACTGGTGCCGCAGTGGTTAAGAATCCGCCTGCAAATGCAGGGGACACGGGTTCGAACCCTGGTCCAGGGTCCTACATGCCTCTGAGCAACTAAGCCCGTGCGCCACAACCTGAGCCTGCGCTCTAGAGCCTGCAAATGCAGGGGACACGGGTTCGAACCCTGGTCCAGGGTCCTACATGCCTCTGAGCAACTAAGCCCGTGCGCCACAACTACTGAGCCTGCGCTCTAGAGCCCGTGAGCCACAACTACTGAGCCCGCGTGCCACAACCACTGGAGCCCGTGCTCCACAAGAGAAGCCACCGCAATCGGAAGCCTGCCCACTGCGACGAAAGAGTAGCCCCCGCTTGCGGCAACTAGAGAAAACCCGCGCCCTGCAACAAAGACCCAACACAGCCAAAAAATAATTAATTTAAAAAAAGATTAACATGATAAATTACAAAAAAAAGCACACAGCATTCAACAAATACTTCCCTCTCCCTTTGGATTGGCCAAGCCCCTCCCCCAGATTCCCGGGACGCGGGGACCGTAGCGTAATGACGTAAAGGACGCAAAGATTCTCCCACCCTTATCTCCGTTTCCTAGGAAACGTGGACTCCGCGTTCAACTCCCCGTCGCTGCCCTCTTGACGTCACGGTCCGGACAGGAGGGCGGGGCGAGTGCTACCGCCAGGGGCGGGGCGGCGCGGGCCGGCCGGGCTGTGCACCTGCACCTCTGCGGTCCGCCTGGAGCATCATCCCCGGCCCGCCTGGCCCCGCCATGGCCAGGCCGCAGAGGACTCCGGCACGCAGTCCCGACAGCATCGTCGAGGTGAAGAGCAAAGTAAGGGCCCCTCCAGCCCCGGCTCCGGCCTCGGCCCTAGGCGCTTCCAATTCCCTCATTCTCCCCTTCCTGACTCCTTGGTCCCCACCACCTTTTTCTCTCCTCCATCCTCCACGTCCCATTCTCCGGCTTTTCTTCTCGCTTTCCCCCATCCATCCTCCTTCCTTCTACTGCCGGCCTCAAGAGTCCCTCTGTGGCCTGGGTACCTGAGGGCGGGGAGAAGACCTTGGACAGCGTCCCTTGTACTGGGTGCAAGGCTGCAGCTGTTGTGAAGCCCCCCCGTCTTTCTCACCCCTGCCACCTTCGGACCCGTGGTGAGAAAGGGCACGGACTCCATCCTAACCCCTCCCCGCCCCCCCACCCCGGCCTCCAGTTTGATGCCGAGTTCCGACGCTTCGCGCTGCCCCGCGCTTCGGTGAGCGGCTTCCAAGAGTTCTCTCGGTTGCTGCGTGCGGTACACCAGATCCCGGGCCTGGACGTGCTGCTTGGCTATACGGATGCTCACGGCAACCTACTGCCCCTCACCAACGACGACAGCCTGCACCGGGCCCTGGCCAGTGGGCCCCCGCCGCTGCGCCTGCTAGTGCAGAAGCGGGGTGAGGAGGATGGGGTACAGTGGGCAGCCTCTGTGGGGTAGGGTGACAGGGCAAGTCTAGAAGGGTTAGTCCATGCCCAGTGTGCCCAGGCTTCACCCTCTGCAGTCCCTGCCCTTGGCCTGACCTCCAAGTGGCAGGAAGTAGCTACAGTGCCCCCTTCCTCAGGCCTTGGCCTGATGGAAAAGGGCCCAAATGGGAAAGCAGGGTCTCTGATCTCAGCGTCCCCCTCTCCTGCAGCAGAAGCTGATTCCAGTGGCCTGGCCTTTGCCTCCAACTCTCTGCAGCAGCGCAAGAAAGGGCTCCTACTTCGGCCAGTGGCATCCCTGTGCACGCGGCCACCGCTGCTAATCAGCCTGCCACAAGATTTCCGCCAGGTTTCTTCAGTCATAGATGTGGACCTACTGCCTGAGACTCACCGACGGGTGCGGCTGCATAAGCATGGTTCCGACCGCCCCCTGGGTTTCTACATCCGAGATGGCACAAGTGTGCGCGTAGCTCCCCAGGGCCTGGAACGGGTTCCAGGCATCTTCATCTCCCGCCTGGTACGAGGGGGCCTGGCTGAGAGTACAGGGCTGCTGGCAGTCAGTGATGAGATCCTCGAGGTCAATGGCATTGAGGTAGCTGGGAAGACCTTGGACCAAGTGACAGACATGATGGTCGCGAACAGCCACAACCTCATTGTCACTGTCAAGCCAGCCAATCAGCGCAATAATGTGGTGCGTGGGGCATCTGGGCGTCTGACAGGACCTCCTTCTGCTGGGCCTGGGCCTGCTGAGCCTGATAGCGACGATGACAGCAGTGATCTGATCATTGAGAACCGCGAGCCTCCCTGTTCCAATGGGCTGTCTCAGGGGCCTCCATGCTGGGACCTGCGCCCAAGCCGCCTACTTCCTGATGCCCGCAGCTCTCTGCCCTCCGTGGATGATCAGGAGCAGGCCAGCTCTGGCTGGGGGAGTAGCATTCAAGGAGATGGTAGTGGCTTCAGCCTCTGACAGGCAAAGATGCAGCCCCTTGCCCTTCCCGGCTGCTGGGACATGGCAGGGACTTCCCCAGTGGGTTTTTTTAGCTTGCTCATGGGGCCCTCTCAGTCTGGGGAACATTAAAGGTTTTCTACAAATGCAGTTATGGTCCTTCTGTTTCCCAGCCCTAGCCTCCTCCTTGATCCCACAATCTTGCCTTCTGGCCTGGACATGAGGCAGGAGTGGAGGAGTGATAAGGGCAGCAGAGAAACCTTCCTGTAGTCAAGCAGCAGGAAGGACACCAGGCTTGGCATTTCTAGGGTAAGCTCAGCTCTTATGGAAACAAACCCCACTGTGTACAAAAGGTTTAATTTTGACAAAGGGGTTTAAGAGGCTGGGATGGCCCTTCCACAGCCACCAGTGACTGGGAAGAGTGCTCTGGGGATACTGCCCACCCACTGCTCCTGTCTTCGAACTCCACTCTATGACGGGGCCCAGTCCTGCCCTTTATAACCATGTAGCGATCCTCAGTGAGACCCCTGACTCTATCCCCATAAAAGGGCTCAGGCATCCATCTTCACAAAGACCTTGGGGCGGGAAAAGATCTTGATGGCCTCCTCTACCTGCATCAGCTTCCGGTCCAGATCAGCACGATGGCTCTGGGCTCTCAGTGAATCCGCCCCAGCAGGCAACAGCACCAGCTCACGCAGCAGCTGGCTCTGGCCTACAGGGGCCCCAGGAACAGTAAGTGCTGGGCAGGGGTGCATGGTCCCCAGTGGGTTCCCCATCCAGCTTCCTTTGGCCACATACTCACTCTGGAGCAGATTGCTCAGTGTCTCCAGCCGCTGGTTCTCAGGCATGCAAGTGTGGCCAGGGGGCATGGCCGGGTCCGGCTGGCTGTGCTGACGGGCCTCAGCCTCCTGCCGCCACAGATCCCTGCGCTCCAACAAGCTGCGATGCAACAGACTCAGGATTGATGATCCCAGGGCAGACGTTGGCTCCCACCCACCATAAGCGTCCCTTACCCTGGGTGTTGGGCAGTAGGACCTACTAATGGGGAACGTGACCCTTCTGTGTGGCGTTGTAGTGCTCCTGGGCCTGCCGTTGCTGCTCCAGCACCTGTGCCAGGACTTGCAGCGAGCGAGAATGACGCCGGGGGGCCCTCTTGGCAGTGCGAGCATTGTGGGTAATGAAGTCCACACTTGGGCCTGGGCCCTGCAGGACACGGCAAGCTTGATGAAGTAGCACTGTGTTGTGCCCCTGAACCTCCCCAGGATCCCTGCCCTACCTCCCAGCCCTCACACATCCTCTCACCTTAGCATTGGGACCTGGTGGGGTTAGCTGGGGACTGGGGACATGGGGTGGTGGGAACCCAGGGCCACAACGGGAATGTGCCCTCAGGAAGTGGGCAGGCTCTGTCCCAGAGGCAGGGCTGGGGTCCTGTAGGCCAAGGCATAGCAGAGGGATCAGTCCGGCTGAGGTCAGGGTGTCAAGCCATAAGACCAAGCCTCTGCCCTTCCTGCCTTTCAGGATCTTTCTCTATCACCAGTCCTCTGGAATTGGCCTCCTTCGTCATGAAGGAGCACTTCTCCTCATCAGCATTTAAACGTGTGTTTCTCACATCTTTAAAAAAACAAATACCCCTCCTTCTATCCCAGTCCTGGCTTCAGCCACCATTTCTTTTTTCTTTCCTTCCTAGCCAAGATTTCTGGCTCTGTCCCCACCAAGGTCACCAACAGCTGGTCTCCAAGCCCTCAAATCCAGGGTCACTTCCCTGGTCTCATCATCCTCAGCCAGATCCTCAATAACTCCTGGGTCTCACTCCTGACATACACATCTGATTCTCCATCTGCTTGCTGGACATATTCCCACTCCCTGCGAGTCCCATAAATGCTTCTGATTCAACACATCCACATATGACCTTATTGTCTTTTCTCTCAATCCTGCCTCTCTGTCTCAGACCCGTGGATAGAGAAGTGGTGCCACTATCTACCCAGATAGAATCCTACCACCATACATACCCCTGCCCCTGCCCTTCCCATTGTCCTTAGAAATAAAGGTAAGAAGTGGATTATGTGGCCCTTTATGATGTGGGCACAGGTGACTTCTCGGCCTAACCTCACGCTCTTCTTCCCTCACAGTGAATTGAATACAGCATCCCCACTGCCCACACCCCCTCTGGTCTTAGGACTTCTGTCTGTGAGGTTCCATCTCTATAGAATGTTCTCCTCCATCCTCCCCTGGCCTAATTCCTACTTGCCCCTCAGAATCACCCAGCCATCATCACTTCTGAGAAAGCCCCCCAGCCCCACTCTGCGGCAGAACCAGCTATCTCTTAGTCCCCTGTTACCTTAGTTCCCTGCGGTTTTCCACCCTCCTCATAACTCAGATCAGAGTATAATTGTCAAAAAGATGGGCGATACTTCTGGCTGCCTGAGGCAGGTACCTGCAGCTGGGCCTTGACATGGGACTTCACTTTGTCATACTTGGGTGAGCGCCAGAGAGCCTTCAGGGGCCTGGACTGGTCCTGCTCCCGGCTGTGCTCCTGCTCACGGAAGCGCCTCTGGATCTCCCTGATCCGCCTCAGGTTCTCCTTCTCATGGTCTTTAGGGTCCTTCCCTGGGGAAAAGATGTTGCCAGGCTCTGCCCTACATACAGCCCATGCAATCCAACTCACAACAGTGAACACACAGGCCCACAGCCTGCCTCCCACAGAAAGATCTCCCTGACATCTCCATCTAAGTCCACCTCGTCACCTTGTTCCCTTCCTCACACAGTAATTATCTTCTTCTATTCCTGATGATTTTCTACATTTTTTATTGCGAAGTATACCATTAATCATCTTGCATATCATATTCACCAGTTCACTTGTTTATTGTCTCTCATCTTGACTCGATGATGCTCTTCTCCAACTTTGTTTTCCTAGCACCTACAGGGCCTGGCACACAGGAGACACTCAAGAAACAACCTTTCATTGATGCATGAATTCATGAAGCTGAGCTATGGGTTTTCTGGGGGATACCCCATCTAGTCCTCTCCTGCGAGGAAGAAGAGAGGACTTTTATAGTCTAGTCGGGGAAACTAACAGTCAGAGAGGTAAAGCCTGAGCCTTCCTCAGGGAAGGAGAAGCAGCTGCTTTTGATCTCAGCTTTGCCTTCAGACTCGCCTCGTCCCTTCTGTCCATAACTTACTCTTGGGAGAGGCCCCTGGGCCTAGGGAGATACCCCCGAGCTGCAGCAGCACGCCACCCACGCCGCGCCGGGCACGCTCCAGGATTTCTCGGGCTACGGCACCGATGCGGGGGCCGCGGGGAGGGGTGGCGTCTAGGTCGGGGTCCGGAGTCAGCAGGCCCAACTTCAGCGCGCTTCCCTCAAGGCGCCCTTGGGCTGAGAGGCCAGACGGGGCGGAGCGCGGAGTTCAATGGTGGAGCTGGGCCCGACCCTTGCTCTGGCTTCGCCAGGGTGAGGCACCCCACAACTCACCTGAGGCCGGCCGCCGGTAGTAGTCAGGACAGAGCGTAGGGTCTGGGGGGATGGGCCCCGAGATGCGGGACGGACCCTCGCACATGCCGCCGTCGTCCTTCTGCAACAATGCACCGAGGCCTGCCGGGCTACGCATCTCCGGCCCCGAACCCCTTCCTCAGCCCAGTACCTCCTCCCTGGACCCGGACCCGGGCCCTGACCCCAGCTGTGCCGCCTTGCCTGCGTTCCCGGCCCTCGCCCCGCCTCCCGACCCTGGCCTGCGCTCGCCACCTCCGCTCTCAGCCCACTTCCTGCCCCGTTGGCAGCCCCTCACCCGGGAAGGGTACTCACCCGAGCAGTTTCACCGCCCACTGCCGCCACCCGACCTCTTTGCTGTTGCCAGGTAACAATGGTTTCCGTCCCTGAGGTCAGGGGCCAATGCCCCCTGGCGCAAAGCCTTCTGGGGCTTGTAGTTCCAACTGAGGGTGGGGCCAGACCGGTTGCCAGTTGCCCTTCGCAACCCGGCCCTTCTCCGGGGTCAGCTCAAGGTCTACCAGTCTAGGGTCCGCCCTCCACCTCCCACTCCCCACGTCCCCCAAGCAACCGTCGAGGATGCGCTGATCCTCCGCAGCCATGGCCTCAGCAGGGGCTGAGAAGCGGCCAGGGGCCGAAGAGGGAACAGCATTGGAGCAGTCACAGCTTACGGAGGTGCCTGGTGGCCATGCGCAGAATTCTGAGGTGACCATTAGGCTGTCTAGCCTTCAAACACTTGGCCACAGAGCTTTAGGAGACCAGCTTCTGTGCAATGGCCCCCTAACTGCCAGGACAGGCTCCACAGCCTGGGAGGGGCATGGGGTGGTGCCCTTCATCCATATTTGGTATCTAATGGCTGATCCCTGTATCCTTTGCCTGGCCATGGTGACCAGTTACCTATGTGTCACCTCTAGTGTCTAGTTATGGGAGACCAGTGCCTGGTGCCAGCCCATGAAGCCTGCCAAACCCAGGGTGAAGACAAGTGTCCAACAGGGCCAGTCTCAGAGCCAAAGATCCAGGAGGAAAGACACAAGCTGGAGGAAGAGAGGCACAAGCCAGAGGTGCAGGCACTAGAGGAGAGAGGCCCCAGGCCTATGGCCTCCATTATGAGGACCAGTCGTGGTCTGAAGAGGAAGCTGGTCAAGTGAGGGGGCTTTCAGAGGGAAGAAGCTGAAGGGCTGGGGAGGTGGAATGGGGGTGGATTCCGTAGGATTCCTAAATCGGGCATTCCT